AACGGGACGTGGCTACGACCCTCTGTCAACAGCCTACGTGGTGTATGTCATATGAACATGAATATAAAGGTGGGTTTGGTTTGGCGACACTAAACATGCAATCTGTTATTGTGTCTGTAGTGTATCAGTGCAGGTACAAATTGTATAGATTTGTGACAAGCCTGCTATACAGGTTTTACTGTATTCACTGTATGTTTTGCATAAATTGTCAGTACATTTGCAGCAGAGCAGGGTAGGTGTCACATACACATACACATACACACATACATACAGACAGACAGACAGACATACAGACAGACACACATACATAAGACAGACAGACACACATACAGACACACATACATCAGACAGACAGACACACATACAGACACACATACATCAGACAGACAGACATACAGACACACATACATCAGACAGACAGACATACAGACATACAGACACACATACATCAGACAGACAGACACACATACAGACACACATACATCAGACAGACAGACACACATACAGACACACATACATCAGGCAGACACACATACAGACATACATACATCAGACAGACAGACACACATACAGACATACATACATCAGACAGACACACATACAGACACACATACAGACATACATACATCAGACAGACAGACACACATACAGACACACATACAGACATACATACATCAGACAGACAGACACACATACAGACATACATACATCAGACTGACTGACACACATACATCAGACAGACAGACACACATACAGACACACATACATCAGATCAGACAGACACACACACATACAGACACACACATACAGACATACATACATCAGACAGACAGACACACACATACAGACACACATACATCAGACACTACAGACATACACACATACATCAGACACAGACAGACACACATACAAACATACATACAGACACACATACATCAGACAGACCGGCACACATACACACACACATACATCAGACAGACAGACACACATCCAGACACACATACATCAGACAGACAACCATACAGACATACATACAAACACACATACATCAGACAGACAGACACACATACAGACACACATACATCAGACAGACAGACACACATACAGACACACATACATCAGACAGACAGACACACATAAACACACATACATCAGACAGACAGACACACATACAGACATACATACATCAGACAGACACACATACAGACATACATACATCAGACAGACAGACACACATACAGACATACATACATCAGACAGACTGACACATACATCAGACAGACAGACACACATACAGACACACATACAGACATACATACATCAGACAGACAGACACACATACAGACACACATACATCAGACAGACAGACACACATACATCAGACAGACATACACACATACAAACATACATACAGACACACATACATCAGACAGACCGGCACACATACAGACACACATACATCAGACAGACACACATACAGACACACATACATCAGACAGACAGACACACATACAAGACACATACATCAGACAGACAGACACACATACATACATACATACATACATCAGACAGTCAGACACACATACAGACACACATACATCAGACAGACAGACACACATACAGACACACATACATCAGACAGACAGACACACATACAGACACACATACAGACATACATACATCAGACAGACAGACACACATACAGACACACATACATCAGACAGACTGACACACATACAGACACACATACATCAGACAGACATACAGACACACATACATCAGACAGACAGACACACATAAAGACACACATACATCAGACAGACAGACACACATACAGACACATACATCAGACAGACAGACACACATACAGACACACATACATCAGACAGACAGACACACATACAGACACACATACATCAGACAGACACACACACTTACAGACACACATACAGACATACATACATCAGACAGATGGACACACATACAGACACACATACATCAGACAGACTGACACACATACAGACACACATACATCAGACAGACATACAGACACACATACATCAGACAGACAGACAGACAGACTGACATACAGACACACATACATCAGACAGACAGACACACGTACAGACACACATACAGACACACATACATCAGACAGACACACATACAGACATACATGCATACATTGGATTATTGTTATGATCCTCTAAATATACCCCTGTAGCTTACGTTTTTTTCTATGTTATGCTATTAAATGTCACTTTACAATTCAGTATTGAATCACACAGCATCAACATTAAGCGTTGCTATTCATCCCAACTTGACATGTAATTCCCAGCAGTGCAGTCAGTCACACACGTGTATGTGCAGTGAGCCCGTGGTTTCCTCATGACTAACTCTATCATGGCGCATACAGAAAACAAAAACAGAGTTGCCAGTGACATGGACACGTTACAGAACTTTCATATGTGAGGCAAGGTGTTTGAGAAAGTTCTATATGCCAGGTTGAAACAGGCCGTGAAATATAGAACAATCTTCCAGAATGTCAGACAGGCTTTTGAAGGGATATTGTACAGTTGGCAACATCTCCCTTAAGTGGCATTTAGAAGCTGGTATGATGAAGAGGAACACTTGTTATTGATAGACAACTTCTTTGTTGTATATAAATATATACAATACTTCTTTGTTGTATATAAATATATACAATACTTCTTTGTTGTATATAAATATATACAATACTTCTTTGTTGTATATAAATATATACAATACTTCTTTGTTGTATATAAATATATACAATACTTCTTTGTTGTATATAAATATATACAATACTTCTTTGTTGTATTTGTTGTATATACTTCCCCTAGTGCATATGTCGTGTATCATTGCTTGATAACGGTGTTAGGATCTACACCCAAACGTCGCATCCACTGCAATAAAGAAGTTGTCTGTCCATAAAAGGTGTTCTTCTTCAGTTGGCAATATGCTTATACTACAATCTCTAGTTCAGAAATGATAGCGAAGATTGACTGCCTGTTTGTAGATTTCCGGATTCAAAGTTCAAAGTTCTCTCTGCGCTAGGGGCTGACAGGAATGCTGTCTGGTACTCGAACATCTAACTATATCAGATGAGCAACAGTCTCTGATGTTTCTACCGCTTCCAGTATATCTGACATGGAACGTAGATTTGAGACGGTCTCTAATTCTGTGATAGCTGATAATCAAGTGATGGCTTCTTCAAGAGGTATGACAACAGCTGATTACAACAGGATGGAACAAGAGAAATGTTTCGGAAACATAAAAATATTCTTACAAAAGCGGATCCAATAGACATGTTCTTAACTTTGATCTACGAACTAGAGTGTCCATCTCAGAGACTAACGAGACTTAGTGAGTTACAAGAATCTGCCCAGGAACAGATTCAGATGATGGGCTATATTTGTCCGACCCTAGGTCCTCACGTAGTGGAGCTAGTACTGTCTGTGTCCATGTTGTTAAGTAATGACAGAATAGTTTTCGGGATCATTGTGACGTTTAATGTACTAGGATCAAGACAGATTACATGCTTATCTCACTTGTCTATGATAGTGATGTACCGCTTACATTTGCTATGTCTAATCCTATGAGCTCTGTGACATATTACTGTACTACGCTTAGATTCATTGACATGCACAAACAGATAATTTATGCATTCAACTAGACAGCTTGACAATGAAGGAATATTGATTGGCACACACTGTAGAAAAACAGTACATGCTGATGAATTTACTAATAAGCATTCATATTCACATTCAGTGGTCGGATCGATGCATTATAGACTACGGTAGACTCGTAATTAAAAGGATGATCACGCTAGCAATTTCAGTCTCACAGAAAACTATGCTGATCAAGAATGTTTTCTTTGGATTTCTTTTAAATACTTCTGAGTTGTTTTCCATCGTTGGTCTTTCATCATACGCTCAGGACTGGAATGATAATGTTCAACACAATATAACACTGTGAAGCTTCAACCTAGGACACCCACAACACAATATAATACTGTTATGCCCCAACCTAGGACACATACAATTTATATTAAACTAGGAAACTCAAGCCACATTATAAACGCTCAATATGTTAGCGCCTAGAAACACAATATAACCAGGCAATGTTAGAGCCTTTGACACGTACAGCACAGTATGACACGTCAATGTCAGAGCCTTGGACACCCACAGTACAGTATGACACGTCAATGTTAGAGCCTTGGACACCCACAATACAGCATGACTCGTTAATGTTAGAGTCTAGACTAACCACAACACAGTATGACACGTCAATGTTAGAGCCTAGACTAAACACAACACAGTATGACACGTCAACGTTAGAGCCTAGACTAACTACAACACAGTATGACATGTCAATGTTAGAGCCTTGGACACGTATAGCAAAGTAAGACACGTCAATGTTAGAGCCTTGGACACCCACAGCACAGTATGACAAGTCGATATTAGAGCCTACGACAACCACAACACAGTATGACACGTCAATGTTAAAGCCTTGGACACCCACAGCTCAGTATAACACGTCGATGCTAGAGCCTTACACACACACAACACAGTATAACACGTCAATGGTAGAGCCTTGGACACCCACAACAAAGTATAACACGTCAATGGTAAAGCCTTGGACACCCACAACACAGTATGACACGTCAATGTTAGAGCCTTGGACACCCACAAGACAGTATAACAGGTAAAAGTTAGAGCCTAGACTAACTAGAACACAGTCTAACACGTCAATGTTAGAGCCTTGGACACGTATAGCAAAGTAAGACACGTCAATGTTAGAACCTTGGACACCCACAGCACAGTATGACAAGTCGATATTAGAGTCTTCGACAACCACAACACAGTATGACACGTCAATGTTAGAACCTACGACAACCACAACACAGTATGACACGTCAATGTTAGAGCCTTGGACACCCACAGCTCAGTATAACACGTCAATGGTAGAGCCTTGGACACCCACAGCACAGTATGACACTTCAATGTTAGAGTCTAGACTAACCACAACACAGTATAACACGTCAATGTTAGAATCTAGGCTAACCACAACACAGTATAACACGTCAATGTTAGAGCCTAAACTAACAACAAAACAGTATGACACGTCAATGTTAGAGCCTTGGACACCCACAGCACAGAATGACACGTCGATATTAGAGCCTTGGACACCAACAAGACAGTATAACACGTCAATGTTAGAGGCTTATACACCCACAACACAGTATGACACGTCAATGTTAGAGCATTGGACACCCACAGCATAGTTTAACAGGCCTTCAATTGTTGTGTTACTGCTTAACCTCCATGTCAGGACAGATGTTCAAAAAGCAAACAAGCATCAACAGGTTTAATTTATTCATCAGGCAGATGAAATGGGTCATATCAGATAGTGGATTTATGCAATGAATGATCTCACACGAGCAGACCTTTTTCTGAGGGGAAAGTGCCGAGCACAGCTGTAAGGTGGAGTGGCGAACTGATGAATATAAACATGTATCAAGGCGCTCTGTCCAGATGTTATTCACTGACAAGAACATGGGTCCCTATATCCACAAACAGGAACCGATCAGTGGAGTGTTGCATGAGGCAGTACAGAGGTCTGAGCAGTGGGACACTTGACAGGAGAACATACAGCACAGGTGTGTCGTCACTACCCCAGCAGGCGAGGGTGGTGGTGTGTGGCGGAGGCGTGGTGGGGGCCTCCGTCGTCTATCACCTGGCAGAGCGGGGTGTGACGGACGTGGTGTTGCTGGAACAGGGAAGGTGGGTCTCACAGTACATATCTCCCGTCTGTGTTGTGTGACCGTGTCTGTCTTTTGTGCAAGGTTACAGTGAACTTGTATGTATTGCGTGCATTTACTGTGGATGCGTCTGTGTTGTGTGGAAGCTCAGTGTCTCTGTATTTATTGTGTACATGATTAGGTGCCTGATAGGTACAAGAATCTGTATTTTACGGACAAAATGTAATCCCAAATATTACATCTGAGCGTTTTCTAAATGGCATTGTGTATTCATAGCTTCGAAGTCATCATATCCCAGTTGCAAAGATCGATGCTGATGCTGCTGATCACTGGATTGTCTGGTTCCAACTCGATCATTTACAGACCGTCGCCATATAGCTGGAATATTGCTGAGGACGGCGTTAAACAACCAACTAACAAATCGTAGCTTCGACCTTGAGAGCCGTGCCAACTTACACTTGTAAGTTATCACAATGGCACGGACTATCCATTTCCGTGAAAGCCGTTGTGAACTCAGTTAGATCACTGACATTGGGCGTGGGCAGTTTAAGATGGTGGGCTCAACCACAACTCAACTAAAATTGGTACATTACTGAGAGAGTCTTTTCTCAAATTCAAGATATGTTACATCAGAATCATTGTCAGAATGTGGGTGCCAAGATTGCCTGACCACCCGATCCCGTTAGTCGCCTCTTACGACAAACATGGGTTACTGAAGGTCAATTCTAACCCGGACCTTCACGGGTCGGATTTACTTGAAGAAGAGTGACAGGGGTGGTGGGATGGCTGTGGCAGGGTTAGGCAGGGTGTGAGTATTTGGGTGTTGAGTTTTACACTTTTTCTATTTCAAAGTGAGGTAATTCTGACAGTCAGCAGAAATGCAATAGTTATAAGTGAATTATATACCTCCTCTATGCGGTACATACATAATGCCTTGCAGAAAGTAGTCATGATTATACTTTCTCCGTAGGGTCCATGTTCTAGTACCTGGGTGTTGTGTCTCATCCCACACTGTCAGTGTAAGGGATCTAACGACCAGCACACAAAGTCACAGATCTAATACACTCGGCCAACATGGCTTCCACCAACATGGATGTCTGGCAACTGATACGCTGGATCGTTTACTGTGTGTACCCTCTGACAAGTGTTAATTGGCACGGCTCCAATTGACGAAGCTATGATTACACAATGGCTTTTAGAAAGTGGTCAAATCCAAAATGTTATTTGGGAACATCCTTTCTCTGTTAAGTACAGATTCATGTACTTTCGATACTTGTGACGATTCCTACAAGCAGGGAACAAGAATCTGACGTGGTTACTTGAAATCAGCTCGCAAATTAAAGGGAGACCGTAAATAGTGTTCCTCTTTCTTACCAGGATACTACAGTGTGTCTGTGTCTCAGTTGTGTGTCTGTGTCTCAGTTGTGTGTCTGTGTCTCAGTTGTGTGTCTGTGTCTCAGTTGTGTGTCTGTGTCTCAGCTGTGTGTCTGTGTCTCAGTTGTGTGTCTGTGTCTCAGTTGTGTGTCTGTGTCTCATTTGTGTGTCTGTGTCTCAGTTAGGTGTCTCAGTTGTGTCTTGTGTGTGTTTCTCAGTCTGTGTCTCAGTTGTGTGTCTGTGTCTTTGTTGTGTGTCTGTTTCTCAGTGGTGCGTCTGTGTCTCAGTTAGGTGTCTGTGTCTGTGTCTCAGTTGTGTGTCTGTCTGTGTCTGTGTGTGTGTGTCTGTGTCTCAGTTGTGTATCTTTGTCTCACTTGTGTCTGTGTTTTGTTGTGTGTCTGTTTCTCAGGTGTGTGTCTGTGTCTCAGTTGTGTGTCTGTGTCTCAGTTGTGTGTCTGTGTCTCAGTTGTGTGTCTGTGTCTCAGTTGTGTGTCTGTGTCTCAGTTGTGTGTCTGTGTCTCAGTTGTGTGTCTGTGTCTCAGTTGTGTGTCTGTGTCTCAGTTGTGTGTCTGTGTCTCAGTTGTGTGTCTGTGTCTCAGTTGTGTGTCTGTGTCTCAGTTGTGTGTCTGTGTCTCAGTTGTGTGTCTGTGTCTCAGTTGTGTGTCATGTATCTGTTTCTCAGTTGTGTGTCTGTTTCTCAGCTGTGTGTCTGTGTCTTTGTTGTGTGTCTGTGTCTTTGTTGTGTGTCTGTTTCTTCGTTCTTCGTTGTGTGTGGCCTATTTGTGTATCTTTGTCTCTTTGTGTCTGTGGTTTTGTCTGTTTATGTTTGTCTGTGTCTGTGTGTGTTGTTGGGTGAACAATAAGAAAATGTAACCTGTTGAGGTATTTCCATGTATGAATTATGATGGTAAACAGTCAAGTAAACATTACTCTGTCAACAGTCTGACATGTGGAACAACGTGGCACTCTGTGGGAATGATCGGCTGTGTTCGGTCCAGTCTGACGGAAATGAAGCTGATGAACTACAGCAGGAATCTGTACAGGAGGCTGGAGGAAGAGGGACACGGCCTGGGTGAGTGGTCAACATGGTCAGCTTCTGGAACACAGTACAGATCAGTGGAGCCAACAACGAGACTCTGGACAGACGAAAACAATTATTGGTTACTAGATAGGGTATTTGGCAGTAAAGTAAAGTTGAGTTTATAGCGGAAAACAGTGGATTCTCTGAAAAAAGAAAGAACCGATATTGGTTACTGAGCAAGGGATTTGGCATCTCATTGTAAACCGCTTGTGTTTTGTACAGGGTGGAAACAGTGTGGCAGTATTTCCTTGGCTCGGACCAAAGACCGCATGATAGACCTCAGACGGAAACAAGCCATCAGCAGGTTAGACTTATCTGAAGGCGTGTGACCCAGATCCCGTAGAGTAACTGACAACTGTACCTATGAATCTGTGTTTTGTTTTTCATGGACACTTCCAAATTTGATGCATCAGTGTAAATATTATGCTAATTTTTCCTGTGACTTGTACCATGTGTTCCTGTGTTTTATCAGGTTAACAATTGCCTTGCCTTTGGATGTGTTTATGACAGGTACCACGAGTGGGACTAGATACGCCAATCCTGTGCGGGCATCTGGTATCCTCACCATTTAATAATCATTCATAACCACATTAGTCCAGTAGCTAAAAGCAATTTTCAGTCCTAACCTTGCATTTTAGGTCCCACAGTATTTTATTGCTGATTTTATAAGTCTAATATGTGTAGATCATAAAACAGCTGGATGCCAACTTGGCACCCTTGAGGGTTTTGAATACTATGGAGTCAGAATTTACACTAGACTGTGCTTCTAGCATTTGTTCAAAGAGAATTCTTTCGATTATGAAAAGAGTTTCATATGAAATATGGTCAATGTGTTTTGGTATATGAAACACTCAAGGTCTCCCTTCATGTAGACTGTTCAGGGAGAGTTCACTAAGGTTTTATTTGTCCCCAACTTCTGTGGAAAGATTATCAGATGTCCATACAGAGAGGTATTGTGTCGGAGGAGAATCAAACAGGTCACAAATGTCACTCTGAGACTCATCTTCTTCCTGTACAGATATGGTGGTGTGGAATCCCACATTGTGAGTCCGTCAGAGATCGCCGACATCAACCCTCTTGTACGCCATGATGACCTAGTGGTGAGATCTACATTGTATTTAATCTGTCCAAGATAAGGGGTGTTCAGCTCAATGTACACCGTGAAGTGTTAGTACTGGACATCAACCCTCTTGTACGCCATGATGACCTAGTGGTGAAATCTATATTGTATGTAATCTGTCCAAGATTAGGGGTGTTCAGCTCAATGTACACCGTGACGTGTTAGTGCTGATGAAGTTTTTGTAGCAATGATGACCCTTTGTGTGAAGCACCACATCCATGCATATATCCCTAGGTTTGTGATACCGAAAAAACGTCCAGAGACCATTCCAATTTCACTGAGGTTTCTTACATAACTAGTGGAACATCACATAGTCCACATGGTATAGAATGTTTGTCGTCTTATCACTGGCTGGTACTGTGCAGGGGAGGCTTGTGGATTCCAGAAGATGGCGTCACAACCGCCCCAGATGTTGCCATGGTGCTGAGTAGACTGGCAAAACAGAAAGGTTCGTGTTCAAATAAGGCACATTTACATGTCAGAAATGCCTGTTTCTTATTACTTTGTTGGCGAGTCCACAAAATGGATGATGCCGTCGGCTTCAGGGTGAAGGTGGTAATAGTCTAAGGAATGTCATTTGTCCTCAGATTCGGTTGTCTCTGAATATCACATTTATTTTAATTTTGAACTCTGTAATTGTCATGTTTCATCTTTGTTTGGTCATTCAGATTTTCTGAAAGTATCGTGTTTCGTACAACGAACAAAGTGTCAGACATTTTGTTCATATCCAGGCATGCATACATACATACATACATACATACACACACACACACACACACACATACATACATACATACTTACATACATACACACACACATACATACATACATGCATACATGCATACATGCATGCATACATACATACATACATACATACATATATGCACACATACATACATACTACATACAAACATACATACATACATACATACATACATACATACATGCATGCATGCATGCATACATACATACATACACACATACATTTTCCCTCGATCACCGGATGTCAATCTCAACTCCCTTGGTATCATACAACTCTTGAAGCCACTAATGAAAGCGAAACAATATAACCTTGAGTAGCCTGTATAGTTATACAATATTTAATATTAGTGTTTCACACTAAAAGTAGGAACATTCCACCTATGTACTGGCGACTGACATGTAATCGAGACGGGGAAAGTACGTTGTGAATGATACTGTTTGACCAAGTGCAACATCCACTGTCATCAGAGTACAAATACAACAAAGTGACTAAGTCTGACAAGTCTGGGGTTGCTGATTAAGGTAATGAGAATCATTTCTCACCTGGAATCTCTACCATATTTATTTAATACATAAAAGGACTGAACAAATTATACTTCTGTACTTTATGTATAGTCACGCAAGAAGGCGAGCTTCAGTAGCTTGGTGTTGTGTGTTCCAGGAGTGAAGGTGATGGAGGGTGTGCAACTTGACAAAATTCTCACCAAAAACGACCGAGTCTATGCTGTGGAAACTACCTTTGGTACAATCAACTGTGAATACTTCGTGAACTGTGGGGGACAGGTTGGTTTTACCTAGGTATCACAATGTTTGGATGTGTCTTTGCTTGTGAAGATCTACATCTGATGAACTCCTGTCATAGCAGATCTTTCAGGACAGAGATGCTGGGGGAGGAGCGTGTTTGTACAGTGTTGGCTTGTCATGCCGAACACCTTGATTTTCCTGGCCTAGTGTACACTGACTCACTGACTCCTCCATCTCAAACGGGCAGCGTTCAGTCTTTCCACGCCATAACTTATATATATTTTTTGGCCATGGGTGGTCTTGATTCCTCTGCAGGATATGAGTTCAAACTAAACGATGACTGTTGTCTGCTGCAGTGGGCTCATGAGATTGGCAAGAAGTCATCCCCGGAAGTGAAGGTTCCCTTACACTCCTGTGAACACTTCTACATTGTCACCAAGCCTATTGAAGGTGTCCCCAGCAACATGCCAGGTAGGAGAGCTGTAACCAGACACTTTGTTACAGTACGTTACATATTTCACTAGTAAGGTCACTACATTGTCACCAAGCGTATTGAAGGTGTCATTGTTTACTAGATACTTATCTTGGTATGTATATATCGCTGATTCTGCCTGGGTGTACGGGCTGCTTCGAGTGTTTCCTGTTTCAGTTATTCGAGACTTTGATGGCTACACCACCTTCCGGGAATGGAATGGTGGTATTATGGTTGGGGGATTCGAGCCGGTGGGCAAGCCAGTGTTCACGCATGGTATTCCAGATAAGTTTGAGTTCCAATCGCTGCCAGAAGATTGGGACCACTTCCGTGAGTATCTCCTGTGTACAGGACTCTACACAGCGACCCTAAACATGTTTGTATAACAATACAATAGGAAGCAAGATGAAGTTAGAAACGGATTCGGGATTGGAGATTCGGGATTCGAATCCCGAATCTGAATTTTTATTTCACATTCGGGATTCGAAACCGAATATGAATTTTTTGTTCACATTCGGGATTTTTCCTTTGCAGATTGCACTCTTATTATGCATTTCTTTTACACATTTGGAATTTGGAACTTCAGCGTCCTGGTAACTATACTTATCCATCCTCGACGTGTGCCGGGCACCCTCGGAGATAGTCAAACGGTCCTGAAGCTCTTCCCTGCTTGCAAACGTCAACCCTCGAAAAATCAGATCTGTCAAACTTATCCGAGATAGTGAACGGTCCTCAAAGCTCTTCCTCTTCCAGGTTGAACTGATGATGATGATTCGAATCCCCTGGGTATCTTAAGAACATTGTTTTCGATACTCTAAATATGATTTGTTTTAAAACATAATCCCCAAATCGGATCCCAATGTAATGTAACAATCCCCAATCCCCAATCCCCAATCAGTTTCTAACTTCATGTTTCGACAATATCCACCGGTCGCTTACGTTCTCGTAATCATAAGCAGGATCAGTTCTGCTACATTTTCTACACTATAATGACAGTAACACAGTTTACTGGAGCAGCTGTGGGGTCAGGTCAGTGCATGGATTGTCATACTCAGAGCCACAGCTTCGAGCGTGACTTTCCTGTCTATTACAACAGTGTTTCTGTATATTACAACAGTGTTCCTGTATATTACAACAGTGATTCTGTGTTGTTTGTAGAGGTTCTAATGGATGAGATCCTGTTCCGGATGCCTTGCATTGAGAAGGCGGAAGTGAGGCAGCTCTTTAACGGCCCGGAGAGTTTCACACCCGACTCCAACTGGATCCTTGGAGAATCGGCCGAGGTAAATGTATTTTCTCGAGGCTGTGGACGTCAGTAATAACATAACACGTGGATGGGCTTCGGTTCCTTATATTCTTGTTCTGGACAGGCCATGAGTTTTTACACATCGAAGCACATCGAATATACATTATAAATTTTGGATCAATAGCGAAACGAAATAGCATCAATATATTACAGTAAATGACACAGGAACACTTTACCAGTGTGTGCATTAGTAACTTGCTTATTTCACTACAGGGAAAAAGTGATAGGTTATTTTCACCACATAGCATTCGAATTATTTCATTTCATTTTGTCTTTCAGTTTCCATGCAAAGTGTAAGAGTATATGTGCCAATTTCTTCTACAGTTTTAACAAATGTTGAGAGGAGTCTGGTCCAGTGTGTTAACGGGCGTTCCACTGTTGTATCGATACTTGTTATGACCTGAGAGTTGACTGGCAACTGTTTATACGCTGTCTGATTGGTTCACTGGTTTGTTGACTGACATGGTCAACAATATGTTGACTGATTTATTACCTGGAGGTTTGACCGGCATGTATACAAATGTGTTGACTCTCCAGCACATTGGCTGGCATGTTGATCAGCGTGTTGACCAGCCTTTGTTGACTGTCGTGTTGCAGGTGGCAAACTACTTCGTGGCAGCAGGAATGAACTCCCGGGGTATTGTTGGAGCTGGCGCTATTGGCAAGTACCTGACGGAATGGATCTTGGATGGGGAGCCAAGCGTTGACATGTGGGCACACGATGTCCGACGCTTTGCTGGTCTCCATAACAACAGGCGCTTCCTGCGAGATCGAGTCAAGGAGGTCCTAGGTAATCCTTGTTTCATTCTGTGGCACAGCCACTGTCAACAATGAACAAATGACTCACCACGATAAATTACTGGGATCTGGATTTATTCTTCATTCTTGTTAGAGCTCCGAAAGATGAAATTTTAAAATAGGTTTAATTGTTTAGGGAATTGTTTAGGGAAAATAAATGATATCCTTTCACTTCAAGCACCCTTGCAACATGTGTTCTACTTTGTGAGCCAAAACGCTTTGTAAACAGAAATTTGAGGCCAATACATTGTATCTGCCCTGTGCATTTTCCGGATGTGAAAACAAATAAATATCGTAGTAGTATCTGCTCTAAGGGCTTCAAGATCCGATTTCAATACTTAAAATGTTAAATTTCCGTTTCATATGTAAAATGTAGTCCTTAATCCGTCTTGCCAAGTATGAAGAAAGGAGACATATGAAAAACTTTTCAAGAATTGTTGTTGGTGAAAAGAGATCACTGAAATGTGAAAAGAATCCATTTCTACCTCTCAGTATCAATATTCCATACTCCACAAAGCTTTACAATGTTTTTGGGAGTGAGCAATACACTCTACGTACGGAACTTGTGGCTGCATGGTCAGCAAAATGAGTTACCTCCCCTATTTTTCACAACAGTGAGGAACTCCGTACAGATCCCCTTGTTAAGGCCTGAGTCCTGCCAAGTTCACTTATCTACAGATGCATCTCAAAACACACCAAGCTTAGAGTTTCATTAATACCATCATAAAAATGCACAAGACCAAAATATATATATTAAGTTCCAATTTAAAATATGTTCAGTGTTTTAGCACTATGATGATTCTAGCTCTCTTCAAACTTATGTCAGTTAAAGGATGGAAGATACCCATAGTGCTAAGATAACTTTGTGGAAAGAGGCCGATGGTGACGTTGAACAAAACAACCTTAGTACTTGGACTGTCGTAGGTCTATGTTTAGGTATGGAAGACACTTTGTTGATCTTATTGCTTTGACTGGCATAAGCCTGTGTTTAGGTATGTTGAAGTATCGGAGTCACTAAGAAACATATGAAGCCGTGGCTTGGAAGGCAGCAGGATCCTTCACGATGCTGGTATACCTGCACATACACAGGGATGGAGTTGCTGGCGGCTTGTATGCCTGCTTCATGTGGCAAACACAGTTGTCTGGCATCAGTTATATCACTGTCACAAACTTTTGTCCGTCACTGTATGTAATGGTACATAACTGGTGATGGGTTATCATCACTTGGCAGCGGGAACAATGAATAAAGATCTGTACAAGACTGATTAAAATTACCATGGTTACGCAGGTGTCAGAAAACAAATTTGGCATCATTAATATTATGTGATGATAGTGTAAAACTACAAACCTTTTCTTCACCAGATAGCCATGAGGAAGATGATGACGTTGTTGGATAAGTGTCGCGTTGTGTCAATACCAGACGTTCATGTTGACGTTGTATGTCCCCAGGTGCCCAGTTAAAACTCAACTACCCCCGACAGTCCGAGTTTAAGATAGGTCGGCGACTGCGGACATCCCCCCTCCACACGCGGCTGGAGGTGGCCGGGGGGTACTTCACGGAAACCATGGCCTATGAGAGAGCTGTGTGGTTTTCCAGACTCGGACAAGGTAATTAACCCACAACATTACAGAAAGTGACAAAAGATTTTCTTACCGTGTTATGTGAAACATTTGCAGACGTTATGGGCACAATGACAGAACCTGGCGATGCATTTGGAAGATAAAGATTATTCACACATTTGCAGAAACAGTCAGTAATGAAGGAAACTATAAACTACCATCTATATAGAGCATTATGTCTCTGCGTGCTGCATCAGGTCCATGTAGGACACTCACATTGTTTTGTGTTTCCACTCTTCAACCTCAACTAGCAGGACATCAGGCAGGTGAAAACAAATAAAACTACCCACAATATGCTTGACTATATAGGCAGTAGAGAAAAATAATATGATACTTAAGTATATCTGTGTTCCAGATGAGGACATTGACTCCGACACCATCAGTCACCGAGGGACTTTTGGGAAGCCGACATGGTTGGACAGCGTCCAGGATGAGTACTGGGCGTGCAAGGAGAGGGTCTGTCTCATCGACATGTCCTCATTCGCCAAGTTTGTCATCAAGGTAGCTCATTGGATGCACATGCTTTACTTTTCTGAAAGGAATACAGAAACCATCAAAGGGCAGATATTTCCCTGTCTTCGTCTTCTTATGTTGAACAAAAGGGCGATAGATTCTCTAAATTATAGTGTCAGGAACCAGTCTGTGTTACAAACAGGGATACATGAAGTGTTGTATGTGTGTGGAGTTACATCTTCACATGGTTTGGATTGACGTTATGGTCAAGAGAAAGGGTTGGTAAACTACTGGGCTTATCCATCTCCCTATACTGTTGACCTGTGTCCAGTCAGGAGGACTAGTTTGGTACACTACTGGGGTTACACATCTCCCTATACTGTTGACCTGTGTCCAGTCTGGAGGACTAGTTTGGTACACTACTGGGGTTACACATCTCCCTATACTGTTGACCTGTGTCCTGTCAGGAGGACTAGTTTGGTACACTACTGGGGTTACACATCTCTCTATACAGTTGACCTGTGTCCAGTCTGGAGGACTACTTTGGTTCACTACTGGGGTTACACATCTCCCTATACTGTTGACCTGTGTCCAGTCTGGAGGACTAGTTTGGTACACTACTGGGGTTACACATCTCCCTATACTGTTGACCTGTGTCCAGTCAGGAGGACTAGTTTGGTACACTACTGGGGTTACACATCTCTCTATACAGTTGACCTGTGTCCAGTCAGGAGGACTATTTTGGTACACTACTCTGGTTGCACATCTCTCTATACTGTTGACCTGTGTCCAGTCTGGTGGACTAGTTTGGTACACTACTGGGGTTACACATCTCCCTATACTGTTGACCTGTGTCCAGTCTGGTGGACTAGTTTGGTACACTACTCTGGTTGCACATCTCTCTATACTGTTGACCTGTGTCCAGTCTGGTGGACTAGTTTGGTTCACTACTGGGGTTAAACATCTCCCTATACTGTTGACCTGTGTCCAGTCTGGAGGACTAGTTTGGTTTACTACTGGGGTTAAACATCTCCCTATACTGTTGACCTGTGTGTAGTCTGCAGGTGGAGAGGCAGTGGACGTCTTGCAGTATCTGTGTTCCAACGACATCGACCAGGACATCGGCAACATCGTCCACACTGGGATGCAGAATGAGCGAGGAGGCTTCGAGAACGACTGCAGTATAGTCCGGGTGGAGGAAAACAGGTTAGAGGAGGAAAGTGTTCAAGTCAGTGATGGCGATTTACGACCATGAATTTTATGTCAGGGTGTGACACTATAGAGGCTTTCAAGTTGTAAAAATATCAAAATTTGATTGTCTATCTTCAAATACACTCGAAGAACTCAGTCATAGATTGTACATAATTAAGACGATCTAGACTTGCGTTGGAGCTTGTTAAAGGCAATATTATATCACTCCATCACTGTACACTGTGTGACAGTCTCACTTACCCCTTGATGGCTGCCCAACAAACTCTGATTACGTCCTTCACGGTTGTCAGTTTCTTCATGATCTGCCCATCTACACTACAGACCCGGGCGTTGACATGGTTACGTCGCCACCTGCCACCAGATGGCTCTGTGCAGGTGGAGGATGTGACGTCAATGTACTCCGGGATCAACATGATTGGTCCTCACGCCCAGCATCTCCTCGCCGATGTGTCTGACACACCCACTGACAAAAACGAGTTCAAGGCGATGACTAGTAAAGTAGGTATCTTCTGAATACTTGTAATTAGGTCAAAGTGTTGTGAAGTTGTTAGTTTGGCTGGATATTGTTTAATGCCGCAATAATCCATCTGCGTGATTATGGTCTGTCTCCAGTAATTGACATTAACAACAGTGTATGTAATTAGGATAGGATGACACGCATGAATCTTTGAAATGTACTTGATGGTGGAGGGATCATGATTTATCGATCTATTGATCCACTGCGGAATGAACCCAGTGATACGATACATGAGGGGCCCATCCATGCACAGATGTATGTTTCAATTCTGTATTGACTAGGAAAAGTAATATTTTATCAGAAATTTTGCAATATTTGCAAGTTGGCCTTGAACATGACTTAGATTCAGACAAAGTCCATGGTTGATTCAGCTATCCTTTACCGTTCTTACAACTGCTGTCCAGTCTTGCCTCTCAGCCGATACTTGATCCTTGATGTAGCAGTTGTGTATATCGTTAGCTGTTGTTGGCAGGTTATCGACGTCGGCTACGCCAGCGGCATCATCGCCATGAGACTGACACATTCTGGGGAGGATGGATTTATACTCTACATCCCATCCGATGTAAGCTTTGTATCTCTCGTTTTGTAACTTTTGAGCCTAACGAGCCAGAACAACACTCAATATAATAACATGTTCTTTTTTGATGGGTGGATGTTTGTTTTAGCTATAAATAAAGGAAAGTGTAGGTTTAACACTACGATACAGTACTACAGTACTTGCCTTTTACGGTAGTTGGCTCACAAGTCATAACACAAACATCCTGAGATTCTGACCCTGCTAGCTGTCGCTATCCTATTTCTGAAACTATTTTTCCAGTTCGCCATCCACACTTACGACACACTGATGCAGTCTGGGATTGATTACGGAGTGAGGAATGCAGGGTACTACGCCATGCGACACCTACGCATGGAGAAGTTCTTCGCGTACTGGGGCCTGGACCTGAATGCTCTGACAACCCCCATGGAGTGTGGCCGGGAGTTCCGTGTAAACCTTGAGGTGAGCTACAGTGCCTAGGGCTGATTCTGTAATGGGTTTGTGGCTGGTGCTGTGAGTCATGGCAGCCGTGTAGAGGTGAGCTACAGTGCCTACATGTAGAGCTGATTCTGTGATTGGCTTGTGGCTGATGCTGTGAGTCATGGCAGACGTGTAGAGGTGAGCTACAGTACCTACATGTAGAGCTGATTTTGTGATAGGTTTGTGGCTGGTGGTGTGAGTCATGGCAGCTGTGTAGAGGTGAGCTACAGTCCCTACATGTAGAGCTGATTTTGTGATAGGTTTGTGGCTGGTGGTGTGAGTCATGGCAGCTGTGTAGAGGTGAGCTAAGGTCCCTACATGTGGAGCTGAGTCTGGGATAGGTTTGAGGCTGGTGCTGAGTCTTGACTGCCGTGTAGAAGTGAGCTACAGTGCCTACATGTAAGGATGAGTCCGTGATAGATTTGTGGCTGGTGCTGTGAGTCATGGCAGCCGTGTAGAGGTGAGCTACAGTGTCTACATGTAGGGCTGATTCTGTGACAGAAGTTTGTCAGGTGCTGAGTCATGGCAGCCGTGTTGATTGATTCTGTATAGATTTGTGGCTACAGTACTGTCGGAAATAGAAGAGAAAAACACTGTTTTTAGGCTTTTACTCTGCATCACTAAAATTTACACAATTTCAAATAGCATATGTCGAAATAACCCACATCGGCCTAACTGGGCGTTCAGTTGGATGCGTAAAAGGATATCCAGGAAAGCATGTTTACTCGTAAAATCGGGCAAAACTTAGAAAAAATACGAATAGCTGCTGGAAACAATAGATCAGACTATAGATGTAAATTAGGTCGCTCAGCCAGGTATGACGACGGACCGTGAAATGCACGTGCTGCCCACAGGCATAAGGGGTCATCTCAAAGATATTTTATGTTTTTTCATGTGTATTCAATATGTCTCTATTGATTATTTTATCTTAGCTAATATCTCAGTTCCACAGCCCGACCCCAACCAACGTCTGCGACAACCGTCCTGGTTTTGCTTTTGGGCAGATCCAGCATAAGAGTTGTATGTTTTAACCCAAAGCAGGCTTGTCAACGTTCGTATTTCAAGGACTGTGACATTAGCAGGGTGTGGCCTTGACATACCGAACTAAGCATTCAGGGAAGCCCAATATCTACTTTCGGGGGTCTTTACATTAATTAATGAGGACCCTGGCTAATAATGAATTGGGCAGTGTACTGTACTGCAAGCTTACCTGAATTACCTTTATTACCTTAATTACAGACGCGTTCAACTGTTTTATTTATTGTGATGTTTAACCCTGGGTAAGTAAATAATGGCTATTTATGTCAACAGAAAGGCGATTTCATTGGCCGAGAAGCCCTCAAGGAACAGAAGGAGAACGGCATCAAGAAGAAGTTTGTACAGTTCCTGCTGGAAGACTTTGACGTGAACCGTGACCTGTGGCCGTGGGGTGGTGAGCCCGTGTACCGCAATGGGGTGTTTGCAGGGGTCACCACCACCTGCGGATACGGCTTCACGCTGGACCGGATGGTGTGTCTCGGATACGTCAGCGACTTTGACGACGGCGGCAATCCCAAACTGAAGAAAAACATAAACAAATTTGTGATGGAGAAAGACGCACACTATCAGATTGACATTGGTGGGAAGCGGTTCTCTGCTAAGGCTGGTATCTACACCCATAAGTTGGCCATGTCACAGTGAGATTGTCATAGACCGAACGTGATTGTATGTATGTAAACAGGAAAATAGCTTCGGACAATGACAGTGTGAAATACTTATTGATCGCTATCAATGTATTCACACGATTTCTATGGGCGGAACCCCTTAAAAATATAACACCAGACACCATCATTAAGGCTATGAAGAAGATATTTTCTCTTGCTACTCTTCCACAGCTCATAACAAGAAAGTGAGATCATATTTAGCAAACAAGGGTATTACCTACTATGTCACTCAGAATGAAACCAAAGCATCTTATGCCAAGGCGAGTATGTACAGATACTTTACTTACAAACAATCATACCATTATATTGATGTTTTGCAAGACTTGGTGAAAGATTATAACCAGAGACCTCACAGATCGCTGAATGAACATTCACACATTGATATCAACGCAAACAATGAATCTGTCGAAAGCACAGTACATTAACCCACTGATCAAACAAGGCAAATCCAAAGCAGAGAAGATGAATGAAACCAGAAGGAAAGCCTTTAAATTCAAAGTAGGGTGACTGTCACATTTGAGACATGTCTTTCAACTTGACTATCAGGAGATAGACGTAGGACGTAGACGTAGGAAATCTTTATTGTTAGCAGACGATACTACAGGGATGGGATACCAGTCTATAAAGTCAAGGACCTGGCTAAGGATCCAATCACAGGTACTTTTTATGCGAATGAACTTCAGAAAGTCTATAAGACTGCAGACACCATGTGGCGTGTAGAGAAAGTCTTGAAGAAGAGAAAGAGAGCTGGTCGAAAAGAGGTGTATGTTAAATGGATGGGTTATCCTAAGAAATTCAACAGCTGGATCCCAGAGCAGGACCTCCAGGGTGTATAAATAAGGATAGATGTCATCCACTTCTAATTGGATACAGAACAACCATGGAAGCAACATGTCCAGATTGTCAGAGACGGTTTTCAAGAAAAGATGTTATGCTGAGACACAGGAGATATAAACACATTAATGATTATGAAAATCCGCCACCGCCGCCACTGCCGCAGAGGCAATTACAGCCGCTGCCGCAATTACCACCACCGCCGAATAACTCAAATGTATAACCAGCAAAACAACAACCAATTCACTGATAAAGAACATTTCAAGTTTACCATCCCCTCTAATGCAGTTGTTGTGGGCCCTACTGGCAGTGGAAAATCTATGTTTATATGCAACCTTCTCATGAAGGGATGTATACAGCCAGCACCTAATCACATTATCTGGTGCTATACCCAATGGCAGCCCCTGTAACAGGTGATCAGTGAACAGTTACACCATGTGAAGTTTGTGAAAGGAATTCCTTACAATGTACTTGACGATACCTTCTTAGACTGACTGACTGACTGAGTTTGGTTTTATGCCCAGCAACATCACTGCGGGGGGACACCAGAAATGGGCTTCACACATTGTGCCCATGTGGGGATTCGAACCCGGGTCTTCGGCGTGACGAGCCAACGCTTTAACCATTAGGCTACCCCACCGCCCCACCTTCTTAGATGCCAGAAATAACAACATGATTGTGTTGGATGACATGATGTCTGAAGCTAAGGATGTCAAACGCATTTCTCAGCTATTTACTCGAACCTCTCATCATAAGAATGTCATTATCTTCCTACTATTACAAAATCTGTTTCCACGAGGGAAACAGTCACGTGACATAGCTCTGAATTCTCACTATGTGACTCTATTCAATTCACCTGTGGATAGACTACCAGTCCAATTGTTTGCCAAACGTACCTACCCAAACAATGTAGATAGGTTTATGTCAGTCTATGAGACAGCTATGCAAAAGCTCTATGGCAATCTGACTGTTGATCTACGACCTACCACTCTTGAATTAGAGAGATTACAACCTAATATACTAACTAAAGCTGACGTACCCTCGGCCTCAGGGATAATAGAAGACATAGCAAATCCCACACCAGAATCAAAACACAATGAGGCAGGGAGCACATCTATAAAAGGGGAGCAACCTGAACCACCTAATCATTTGACTCCAGACACTGAGAGAGATAACATCTCCAAGCTGGTTGAGAATACTGTGGCCTCAGAAGACGAAAACAACCATGACCTTCATCGTCATGTGATGACCTGGTGCCCGGAAAATGATGTGGAGCCTCTGCAGAAGCGAGCTAAGGTGGATGCAGCTGATGATACTAAGAATGATATCCTGCGTCCAGTAGAGACAGGTACTAAAGTTGATAGAGAGAGAGAAGTGAAAGGCCTTGAATACATGTGGGAATAAACTTTGAAAGCCTGGAAGGAAGGACTTTGAGGATAAAGGAAAGAAGCAAAGATGGATTGAAAAGAAATTGAAGAAATGCTGGCAAACTACTTTTCTTAACAGACTTGCGATAGCCGTTCATTATGCCAGCTATTTTGGATATGGACCCATCTTCAAGCCTATATTGGAGACATCACAGCCCTGGACCCTGACATGGACCCCAAAGAAATGGATGCTAAAATCACTCAGTGGATGAAACCTATCGTTAATGATATTCACTCTCATGTGGACTTGAGCCAGGCTGAAGATTTAGAACTTGTTGACATGTCTGAGCATGATGATACAGATAATGATGAACTGTGAACTCTTCTACACAAATTTGCATCTATGTATTATATAGATATATGATGTCTGTATTGTATTAATTGTATGCACACTGTATTTATGTGTATGTATAACCTTATACCATGTATACTCATGTACATGTGTAATAAAGGATGTAAAATAACAGTATATGGTTGATTTATATGTTCTGTCACCAATCAGCTTCACTTGATACGGAGAAACTTTGCTTCTCAAAGATAAAACAAACTCGCAGAGTTAAGTCAACACCTTTTATTTCATGAATAACACAACATGAGAATCATGACAGGTTCAAAGCCAACCTTCATATGCAATCTATTTACATCATAAATCATAATGGTCAATGGACATGCATTCATACAAGTATTTATTCACATGAAGACGGTTATAACATGAAAACAGATAGAGAGGCATGTTTGGCTTTACACAGTCATTATGCCAGCATTTTAAAACACAAAATATTTTCTATAAAATCAAACTATACATGAGCAAATATGACAATCTTACACTTGTTAATCAAAGCAAACTTGCGTCCCATATTTACATACTCCAGTTCCAGGCAAACATCATAGTTGCTGTATGGGCTAGATGTTATGTAGGTTAGCAATACAGATATCCTTCACGATCTTTTTGTCACTGAATGGATTCTATAGTGCCTAAGGGCTAGTGTATGGATCCCATCCTTTAAAACATAACGCTTGTCATCAAAAGGGGAGAGACTTATTTTATTGATGGAGGTTTTTTTTGTATACAGTTGATGTTCATCGCTCCTGATTTGATTCATGACATGTTGAAATTGTGTTTTGACACTGCTTGTAAAGTTCATGTCTCAGCTGTCTTTTTATGACAGTTTTGGGAACCAGCTTTCTGCTCATCTGCAATAACAAATTTAATTGTATCATTCTCATGTTCTTTTTCATTTTTATCCTTTTTAACTTCTTGTTCAAAAGAGAATGAATACAGTTTGGGCCGGAGCCCAATGAACTCTTCCATTATACAACCTCCTATCTCGTCCTTGAACTTGGCCAAGACTTTGGCATTGCTTTTGGAATAGAGGGGGTGTAGTGGTTTATAATTGCTGGAATCAAACAGATGCATATGTTCTCCTATGTCAGCATACACATCAGGGGTTTCAATTTTGTAACATAAGGAGTCGGTGTCTGTGAAGCATAGCAATGATTTCTCCCCATATTTAGGCTTGATGAAATTGTAGTGAAAGTCATACATCACTAGCTTTGAGAGGTCCAAGATAGAAAAGCCTGCATATACAGGTTGTTTTAGGGTCAGGGTGACTATTTTCAATTGAACTGCTGCCAAGTCTGGGTTAAAAAATTTAAAAGCATCAAAAGTGGGCTTGGCACAAAGCTTTCTGAGACGTTCATCATGGAACGACCAAAACAAGAATTATTTAACAGTTTAAAAAGGCTTTTTCCTTTTCATTTTTAGCTTGTTTTCTCTTCTCTGTATTGAAGTCAATGAACGGTTTGAGCCAGGGAGACTGTTTGAATTGAATAGCTCTGTGGATTTTGGATAGAACCATGCCACGATTCAAATAAAATTGTAAATTCCTATAGCTCATTACATAGTTTTGTTTGTTGAACAAATTGGGAACCAGTTTCCTCACGGGTTTACCCTTCAGTTTTAGTTCCTCTTTCAGTTTCTGAGAGTGTTCAGAAAGCATGTCATGTGTGACTACCATGGGTTCAGGGGCTAAGGGATAGTCATTGTGGAGATCATGCAAATGAGAAGGGTATTCTAAATCCACCTTAAGGATATAGCCGATATCAGCATCAGGGCGTATATTCATAACACCAATTTGGTCTACATTCTCCACCCACTGAAACTCTCGTTCAGGTAGGGCTTGTGACATGGCCCACCCATACAGGTTGTTAGCACCCCAGTACATGAGATAGCTTATGGGATCATCGGGATTAAACGTTCTGGTTTTCATAAGAGGGTTATTACTGGAAACATGTTTTGTTGATATACAAGATATGCTACCCCTCCATCCTCTTTCCAGCACGAGATGTTTTTCTATATCTGTCAAGAGTTCAAGCTCCACTTGATCCATTTTCAACATGGCATCACATCCAAACCCAGGAAGAGTATAATAATGAGCGCTGTCTAGATCATAGTTTTCATGACACATGTCTCTAAAGTCTTCAAATACGTTGGCCAAAAGTAAACCATCAGTTTTCATATACAAATCATGGTACTCTCCCAAGTTTTGTATTTGAAAAGTTGACCAAACTTGTTGGGCATGAGCATAATCCTCATCAGAAATAGAACTCTCGGTCAATCTATTGTAAAAGTCCTCCTGTTTTGGGAGATGATTCATTCTAAATTTGGATTCATCATTCATGAAGTCGTATGGATAAAGCCCCTTTCGTAAGAGTAATTCCTTTGTTCATCATTGCCATATTCCCAGAATCAATGTTTGAATTTAGTGGCACATTTATCCAAGTTTATAACCTTTTTATTTTTAATCTCATCACAACAGTCTTTTACCATATTGCAAACCAAAGAGTCAATAAATCTTAATCTGCCCAATGAGAAAGAAATATATTTCTCCAAATTTTGCGCAATGCACTCCAGTTTTCCTTTGTAGCTTTTGTCTAAATGTTTTAACAAGATATGACTATCAAAATTCTTCAAGTTATGGAAGATTATAGGCATGAAGAATTGCTTGTCTTCACTCCCTTTCTGTCCTTTATTCTTTTTCTCTTGATGTCTTATACTTTTTATTTAATTCAACTGAAGATTGCAGTTTTGAAGAGCAGCACCCCGATAATTATTGGTTTTCTTCAAATGGTCATGATCCCTCGCTTTTATCGACTTTACATCAAATGCTTGCTGACAGATATGACATGTGTCAGCCTCCTGAAATGCTACCTGATCAGCCTCTGTCATATGGATGGGAAAGGTTTCTTTCAACTTTTCTTGAATAGCTTTTTCCTCATTCAACAAACAATCATTGAAATGAGCTATGACATTAGGACCCCTATACACCACGGCAGGTTGATGATAGTCTGGATTAGTAGAGACTACTTTGTAACAAAAGCCAGAGGGTTCATGTTTTTGATAGACCGAGGTAAAGGAGCCTTCTGGATTAGGTTGACACCCAGTCACTTGTTTGGTCATAGATTCAAAATCAGCAGAAATGACAAAAGGCACTCGGAGCTGATTCTGAATGTTTTTGAAAGCTACCCATGCTTTTTCTCCCTCAGGCATTTTTATTTTCTGTATGTTATGATCATAGCAATAGGGTGTATGACTCTCTAACAGATGCCTTTGGGTGAAGCCATGAAGACAGTGTCTGCAATAGAAAGCAGCTCCATCATTATTTGTTCGGTCTCCCATCAGTCTGCTAAAGTTTCTAATCAAACAGAAATGCCTCTTTTCCCCCTGACTCAGTAGTAATAAATCTACTGTCTTATCACGCCTGTGCTTACTGACATGAAGTGGAAATACTCCATCTTTCTCATCATAGCCATAAACATTGACAGAAATATCATTTTGGTTTTCAAATTTGGAAATTTGAGAAAGAGGGAGAGGCATATCAATCCCACACATATTCGATTCTGATTCATATCCTACATATTTTGACACTCTATTGGTATGCTCAGTAAATGGCAATGAGTGCAAGGCCGCAAGAATAGACCAGACAAAACATTTCTGATCATTGTTTTGGATGTTCAAAATAGCTTTTTTATTCTTCAAGTATTTGGGTAAAGGAATGTAACTGGATGCTGACAAAGGGACATATTCAGCTGTATTCACTTCAAGATGAATGATGTGGTCTAAGATCCACCCACTGCCCTCGGCTTGAAACCCTTGAGAAGATGTGTACAGTTTTTGGAAAGCTTCAGCTAACTGCTCATTAATTTCTGATAGGTTACTCACCCAAAAATTGGTACTTCTCAGAACAAGTTCAGCCAAATGACTTTGGTTATTTTCGTCATACTTAATATATTTAAACTTTAGAGTGAGAAACAACTTCATACCTTTCTTTTCTGACATAAAATCTTGAAGGATATCAACAATATTTGTCTCTTCATCCGCTAGAAATTGTAGGATATCCACATTATTAGCTTCCCTAGAGGTGATTGTTGTTTTCATCAGTGAGCCTTCCAGTGCTGACCTTTGACCCCCACCAGTCTGGTTGCCCTGCCTTGGTTCATAAATTTGACGACGTCTCACACAGCCGTCACACTGGTCCACACGCTCACTGTAGAAGCGCTCAGGGAGAGGACGGTGGCAACTCATGCACTCGCGACCTGAGCGCGAACAACTCATGCAGAATAGCTTGTTTGGCAGTAAGCATTTATAATGGCCACACCAATTACAGATAGTATATCTGGCTGGAATGTTGCTGTCACTCTTAGGCTGCAGACAGGGACGTTTCGCCAAGGTTTCTGCAGCTGTTTCACTTCACTTCCTCTTCAGAGTAGCTTCACATTTGTGACTTTGAAGTGCATCCAGGCGGGAATAACATTTTCCACATTGCTCGCAGTAATATCTCTCATTGTTGTGCACTGTCCTAACATGGCGGAGAAGATTTCTCTTCAGTATGACAAGTGTGCTGTGATTGAGAGGGTGTCACATTTTCCCTAAGGCTAATGTTATTTGCAAGCAGTTCAATACGTTTTAAATTCACATCAGCATCATTTATCATTCCATTCTCTGCAGCCCATTTCTCTAAATCAGACAAAGAATCCACACTGTCCAGAAACCTTTGTTTTTCTGACATTCTGTAATACAAGAGGTAGTGTGTTAAATACTGTCGACTCTATATACACGAGGTAGTGTGTTAAATACTGTCGACTCTAACGGTTACCTGCCCCTGAATAGGTAGATACGGCGACGACATCGCGGGAGAAAAAACATACGTTTTCTTTCTTTGTCAAGCCTTTGTAGTGCCTTTTTCTTGGACACAATACGCTTAATGAAGAATGGGGATCGACGTGGACAGTTGGAGGTGTAGAATTGGGTGTTTTAAG